GACATCTGCCAAAAAAAAAAAAAAAAAAAACCAAACCCAGAAAGCCCAGCTGACTTCAGGATAGCGAGGTGTGAGAACAGCGGGAGATCTGAGGAGCTTGTGGCTTAACACTGTCCGTTTCAATGTTTTATACTCCTGGTGTGTGCAGGAAACTGCCTGCCCGTGAGCCTGAGCCACCCGCTGTCAAAATGTCTGATCCCTTTCTCTTAGCTGGGGGTCTTTTATGTGAGGTTCCTCGGCATTGCTTAAGGTCAACCCTGCCAAATACAGCAACCAACCGGGGGCCGGACGGGTCGAGGTATAAGTGTGTGTGTGTGTGTGCGCGTGTGTGGATCTGCATCCCTTTCTCTTAGCTGGGGGTCTTTTATGTGAGGTTCCTCGGCATTGCTTAAGGTCAACCCCGCCAAATACAGCAACCAACCGGGGGCCGGACGGGTCGAGGTATAAGTGTGTGTGTGTGTGTGCGCGTGTGTGGATCTGCGTGTGTGCAGGATCCTCTGAGGGGACTGTGTTGTCCCAGGGAAGTGGTAATGTATTCACTGACCAACCGGGGCAGAGAACTCGAACCTTCCTGCAGGGCCTGCCATCTGTACTGTGAACACGGACCTTCCATTGTCAGCGTCTCAGGTGGTCAGATGCAAGAGCGGCCACGGTAAAGCAGCCAGCACTCAGGGCTTTCTGCTTTCTGTATGGGGACAGGTCTTGCCAACATACTCTCCCTCCTGCAAAAGATTATACATCAATTGCGCCTTCTGGGCTTTCGAGATGGACAGACAAGGCCACGTCATCTACGATGTGAGAGCTCCAGGTCTGCTCCCGTGTGTTGAGACACTGGCATGGAAAGCCACTGGTTGAACTGGGGAAGCCAGGGGACTCCCTCCCCAAACCCTCCAGCGCATCCTCTGGGAAGAAGAGTCCTCGGAGTGCTGAGAGTTACATGGGGACGTGGACTTGGAGCTTCTACTTCTTTTCAGCTTTCCTCTCTGAAGGGTGGGCGCTGCTGGGCAGTGCCACTTTACACCATGTTTACTGACAGGACAGGGAGGTTGCCCATCTCCAGCCTCCTCCCCTCTGTTTCTCTTTCCTCCGTGAGCCAAGTCCTTCAGCAGGTACTTCCAAGTTCCCAAGCCCTTCTGTCCATGAGCCTTTTGGGGAGGCCATCCTGGAGCCCCGTCCGTGCCCAGATCTCAGGGTACTGATCATTGCAGCCCAGCAGTGGGGGTCCTGGGGGGCGCTGGACTGCCATGCACTTTGCTTCTGGGAAAATAGGATCGCCTTTCTGTTGGCTCCTGATCTATTGGGCAGTGGCTAGAGCTAACCAGGCATGTCCTTCTGCCCTGACCCTCCTCCAGAAACCAGATCTCCACAAACAGGCACATCCGTTATCCATTCCCAAGTCATGCTGTGTGACAACCCCAACACTCAGTGGCCCAAAATGACACACACTCATTGAGCACACGAGCCTGCAGGTTGCAGTCTAGGCTGGGCAGTTCTGGTCTTGGTGGGGCTTGCTCACGTGCCTGTGGCCAACAGCTGCTAAGCCCCAGAGGGCGGGAGGTGTCCACGGTGCCGAGGTCAGATGTCCACAGGCCGCTGCTCTGTGTGGCTCTTGCGTCCCTCCTGCAGGCTAGCCCTGATGAAGGCAAAAGTGCAGCGACAGAAGCGGGCAAGTGCCTTTCCAAGCCTTGGCGGACACCACACCCACTGGTCAAAGCAGGTCATGAGGCCAAACTCATCATCAACGGTGGGGAAGTGGACCCTCCCCTGTGGTGTCCCCTCTGCACAGTCGCAGGGCAGAAGGCTGGGGATTTGGAGGGTGAAGAGCTGGGACTGTTGTGACCGTCAGCCTACCACCACCAGGATGTCTTGGTCCGAGTAACACTGCTTGGGAACAGTCCTTCCCTGGAGAGGCAGAGTGCTCCTCCCGCACCCTCTCCAGCGGGCTAGTGTCCCTGTGTTTTACGTGATACCTGTGCCTTTGGGCTGCTCTGTTTGGGCGGTAGGGGGATGGGGGAAGCAGATCCAGAGATCCACTCACTTTGGAGGGTCCTGGGTAGAGAGCATTCATTCTGAGTCTCCCGGTTCCCCTGGTCCCACCCCAAGCTGACCCAAACCAACCAGCCGCATCTTCACACCGGGTGCCCCCTGCCCCTCACTGTTCCCGCCTCCTGCTCCCCAGGGGCTGGTGTGGGCCCCGAGAGAGCCACACCTCTCAGACCAGCCAGGATCTCAGAAGCCTAGGTCGGGTGTGCTACTCAGAAGGGGACGCAGAACCTGCCTCTTCTGCAACTCCCTTAATCTGGATGCAATTAGAGGAAACCAGCCAGAAAGCCTGCGGCAGCTGTTGTCCCAGGATTATTCCCAGCCAGCAAAAGGCATTAGGGTGATAATTCAGTCATTAGACTTCTAGCCTTCCCACCGCCAGAACGTGCAAATAGGGGATAATCAGCCCTGCACGGCCGTCCTCAGCAATGCTGTTTATTTAACCCATTTTTTAAAATGACACTTAATGTTATTGGCTGGCGGACGTGTGCACGCATACTTAAAAGTGGACGCGGGTCTGGCCCCACTGCTAATGTCAGCGCTGACGTTGCACTGGGTCCCTCGGGGCCTCTGGGAGGAGAGGGCGCCTTTGATGTGCATGTGCTGGCACCAAGGGGCAGCACGGCGTGGCTGGATGCTGGGTGCAGGAAGGTCCCGCTCGCCCCTCCCGGCCCACTGTCCCAGGGAAGAGGGGACCACGATGGGAGGAAGTTGGGCCTGGGAGGGTGGGGGACAATCGAACTGGGGAGCTGGTGCGTCTGAGGTTGGGTGAGCACTCGGTGGTCTGGGCTGGAAGCGGGGAACCTGGTGTCTTTGCCGGGGTGCAGAGGGAAACAGTGTGCTATTCCAGAACGTTCTGACTCAAGTTCTAGCCAGGAAGACTCGGAGCTCACAAGTCATGGGCCAAGTAGAGAGGGAGGGCCCTTAGCCCACCTGTGCAGAGGAGAAAGGTCTGGAGTCCAGAAGGGGCAGCTCTATGAGCAGCCCTAGGCTTGGGCGCCACCAGCAGATAGCATGGCATCATTCCCGACCAGCCGAAATGCTGGGCAGGCGGGAGGTTTTTAAACCCAGGACAGGGAGGACCTCAACCCCTTATCTTTGGGGTTTTCCGTAACAGCTCAGTCTGAAGCCTTCTCGGGGTGGGCAGGGCAGCGGGGCAGGATGCAGGTGCTGGTTCTGAAACGAGGGCTTCTCCTTGGGCTGTGTGGCAGCAGCTGGCACATGTCACCGAGCTCTGACCTTTGGTGGGGGCCGCGAGGAACAGAGCATGGGGGATGGGAACAAGGAAATGGGGTGAGGACTGTAGAGCACGGGGGTCGGGCGCGGCCTGTACGGTCCCTCCCAGCCCTCTTGTGGCAGCAGCTGGCACATGTCACCGAGCTCTGACCTTTGGTGGGGGCCGCGAGGAACAGAGCGTGGGGGATGGGAACAAGGAAATGGGGTGAGGACTGTAGAGCACGGGGGTCGGGCGCGGCCTGTACGGTCCCTCCCAGCCCTCTTGTCTGCTTCTTGTTTGGCAGGAACAACCTGGAGGGGGCAGCCCCTAGGGCAAGTCCACCCACGGCTGTGCCATGCAAAGCTTTTCTCCTTGTCCAGGCTCCCCTTCCCCCTGGGAGGCTGGAGAGTGTCAGGGATGCCCCGAGCTTACCAGGCAGAGAGAAGGAAGTACCTTCCCGGATGTCTGCTGAGCTCAGGCCCCTGGAGGCCACCCTGACTCAGAGGACGGAGGAGGGGGTCCCCTGGGAAAACTTGCACTTGTGCAGGGGAGAGGCCTGGCTGTCCCGCTGGGCCACGATGGAAGGGACCAGAAGGTCAGCCTGCCCCCATCCCTGGAGTCCCTGGGGAATCAGACACCCCAG